AGGTTTACTTGGATTTAAAGACATACTTATGATGATGCTGGCAAGGTATAATACTTTTCCCTGAATGTATGGAACAAATCAATAAACTTCTTCTCCATGACCTTGGTTTTGCTTTTGTTGCTGCTGGTATAGATCAGGAAGATCTCCACTCAGATGAGTAGTCATCCCTGGCTAAAATTGTGGGAGATGAAACTTGATTTCCTTTGAAGTAGAAGCAGGTTTTTCTACAGAGACAGTATAAACAAGTAGTTCATGGTTGCCTTCTCTCTGTGCTGTTTTCCCCTGTTTTATTATTTGAACAAATAAGATTTTACTCATATATTACACCAAACCAATGACTCCATCTAGCTTCCCACAGCACACTTTTTATAGCAGAGAATACTCCTTTCTTGTCTTGCTGAGGCACATATTTTCACATGATTTGCACCAATAATATAACTCTGGTGAGTAGCTTGATAGAATATATCACTCTTCACAATATAGCAGTCCCCCTCCTTAAATAATGGAAATGGTAGAATTCTGGTAGGCTTGATTTTAAACATTTTAAATATATATAATGGTTTGCATACTGTGCAGTGATTTGTAAAATGTGAATGCCTACAAAAACCATGGTTACCAAGCATAACATTATCTTATTTTTACTTACACAACCAGTAAAACAGCTGGAGGTCTAAAATCATGGCCTGGCATTAAATGCATTACTACATTTTAACCATGCAGGATGAGGCTGTCCTTTCAATTGGAAGATAGAAAGAGAAAGAAAGTGTAGTGATTACTGGAAAATTAACACCTCTCATTTTAATAGACCGATTATACCAACAGCACTTAAATAGAAACCCTTCAATTGAAATGAATTGGAATTTTATCTATCTATCTAAAGAGTGAGAAAGGAACAAGTGGCTTTGAGCTACACAAATTGTAGTATCAATCTTCAGAGTGGAAATGGGGTATTAGTGGAAATGCAGTATTTTACTAATGGAAATTATGTCTTTTGTTTTAAGATCCACCTGTGTGACACTGTTCAAATTTCTTTCTTTTTATTCCTGTCCTTTGAAAAAGATCCTTATCAACAGTGCTCCCATGGTTTCCCATTTTAACATCCATAATTGTAATTGACTTGCAATGCATTAAGCTGTAAGCTGTAAACCAAGACCACCGCAGCATGCCCACAATGCTTAGGACTAGGTTTCTTCACCTCAAATAGCATTACCAAGCATATCAGTAAGCCTTCACAAAAGTGGTGTCAAAGGAGAACAGTTTTTCTACTGCTTCTGGTGCCTCAGAAACAACAACTAAATTGTTCCTGCAAAAATATGCCCTAATGGGCCTTGTGTAGATGTTCAAGCTCTCCTGGGATGTAGCTTCAGTAGGGGCTTTTGCCTAGCAGGAGGCCATTGGAGGCAAGGTGCTGAGCCTGAGGTAAGGAAATTACCCCACTCCTGAAGAAAAACACCAATGAACAAGACACCTGGAAGTCTACAAGAGCAGTCAATATGGCACAGCCCAAAGCAGAAGTTTCTCAAAATTCAAAAGATGTCCTTAAATGTGTTCATTCAGAAACAAACATTTCTCTTTACTTCATCTGCTCTCACTCATCATGGCAGTGTTCCCTCTTGGATCCAGAAGCATGCTCCACCAAAATCGCTTCACCAAAATCTCTCCAAAGAGTTCCCGAATTCCTCAGATTTCAGGCGTCTGAGGACTATCAGCAACACGAAGGGGTCACTCGGCACCTGATCAATGTGACTCCAATATCCGGTCAGAGATGCAGGTGCAGATTGAAAACTGTCAGCACTTCACAAATCAGCTCCAAGAAGCTGTATACTCTTCCCCTAGGTAGATCTCTTATTCCAACTATAAGCCCATTCATAGCATGCGGTAGCTGCAGTGGGAATAAATGGCATTCAGGGGGCTCCTCCAACTCCAACAAAAATGTAAGGAAGGGTGGCCAGGAGCTGATAAACTGGTTCTTGCTCTGCCTGTGCTGGGGAACAGTGGGAGATTTGGTGAAACCTTATGCTTGTGACATTAGGGGAGTGATACCTGATTCATCTGCCTGATAAAGCTTTGAACAAGGGACGAGGGGAACAAAAAGAGTTTGATTCTTGTCTCACAACACAAGTTTTACGTCAGTGATATTACTGGCTGTGTTTACAGAGGCAGCTGAGCCAGCTCTCAGACTCTACAGAGTTAGTTAAAACCAGCTTGTGCATCCACCTGCAAAGCCTCCTAGCTCACTTGTCATGCCAATCGCACACTCCACACCTCCCTGGGCACCAGTAATCTTCAGGCATGAACCCCCAGCCACCAGCTCCCAACCCATGTGTCCTTGTTGGGACGGAGTGCAAGTCCATCCTCCAGTGTGGGCATAGTCAGCCTGGGCACTGAAGGAGTCCACCGTGTACTCAAGGAGCCAGGGTAGGAGATTAGCCAAGGTAAACAGCAGTGCTGCGACTCCCCAGAAACAACACTGACCTACACTGGGCTGAAAAGGAGACCCAACAGTGCTTTTACTTGTGGGACAAATATTGCAAATGGGTGGCAGTGGTGGTGATGGCACGACGTACTGGAGTCAAAATCGACTTGTTTACTTTGGAGAGGATCAGAGAAGGACACAGATTATACAACCAAAAGGAAGAATGTGGCTAGTTAATAGTGTTGGCAAATAATGGAGGGAAAAAAATCTGCACTTTTATTCAAAGAAGAAAATGAGTATTGTGGTAAATATGCAGACAATCCACACCAAGTGCAAATCTGGTTTCTGTGTGTAGATGTGTGGTCTAGCTGCAATCTTTATGGAAGCTATTTCAGCTTCAAATGAATGTAGTATTTCTAAAATAGTTTAAATGAATGTGATCTGTCTGTGAAAGGGAACAATGGATGTAGTAAACAAGCAAACATGCTGTCAATAGCTGAGTGGGAAGGATACTGAATTTCATCAGAGGAGGACTAATGTGGGATTTCTGAAGTTACAACTGTCCAGTGCTTGTATTTGGTGGGTACAGGGACAGGTTTGCAGTTTGTGGAGAACGTCAGCCCTGCACACTCCAAAATCAGGGGAAGAACGCCTGCTTTTAGCAATTTCCAGCCATACCAGTTGGAAAGTGCTCAGAAGTTGGGATCAACCGCATACCTTAAAAATCAAAAGCCTATGCGTTCAATGTTGTTCAGATGTGGTTTCACATTTTTAGCACCTAGCCCTTTTCCTTATGACACCCTGCCTCAAAAGGACAATCTGCATTACACAAGAGCTTGGAAGGGTGGCCTGGTTCTCCTGCCCTGGCTATCCCCCTTCAGGTTTCACATGTGTAAGGAGTACAGATGGCACACCGTGGGAAGGAAAGTTGCCCTTGCATGGGTCTAGCCGAACCCAGTGCTACCATTGGTGGTACCTGAGTTTTGTGCCGGTTCCTCTGCTGCCAGCTCCCTTGAGCATGGGCTGAAGCCTGCATTTGTGGCAAAGTTTAAGCTACTTTTCCCAGCTGAGCCTGAGTTTGAACTCTCCAGTGAATCACCACGTGAGGAAGGAGAGGTAGGAAGAGTGGGAAAGCCCCTCATCCAGCCCACTCCTGCACCATTTTTCATGTGGAGCCTGGTAATCGTGCCGAAGGGTGCTCCCAGAATGAGGAAGGCAGTCCAGGCATAACAACTTCTCACCTACCCTCCGTGTCCTGCTGGAGGAGCCAGGGCATCCCCCTACCCCACTGAATGCGCTGCCTGCACCAGGAAATCCCAACTAGCCTCTAGCACCTTTGGCAGAGCTGCATGGGAGGTGAAGTTGGCACAGCAAGCAAAGCACAGCATTTTACTTTTAAAACAAAGAAAAAGATCCCACAAACATGCACCATGGTAGCATTAATGTTGCAGGACTTGCTAATTACTTACACATTCCTGCCTTACAAGCGTGTGATTTTTTTGTAGCCTTCACTTTTCACTGGTGTTAGTTTTGCACTTTTTAGTCCTTTTTTTTTTTTTTGGTAATGAAGAAGAACCTCAGCTTACTGTCTGCTGCCAATTAGCTGTCTAGTCCTTGACACACAACTGAAAGGCTAGTGTGACTTAGGAAGTCCCACTGATGTTGTGCAGAGAAACCTCAGCAGCTTCTCTCTCCGGACCTACAGGGGATGTGGGTTTACAAGAATGCTTTAAGGAGTTTAGTCTGAGGCTGAACAGTTGGGTGTATTTAAAAGCTCTGCTCGCTGCTTTGTAAGTACAGAAGATTTCATAGGTTCCTTCTTTTCGAGTTTCCACAGGAGAGCTTGTAAATGTCTTGAACCAAATAGCTGTGCAATTAATGAACTGCGCATACACAGGCACTACATCCAGCTATGAATTCTCACTTAATAGTTTAACAAAGGTATCTGGTTTCATATGCTTTTCATTCTTTTTTAAATAGCGACAAGTTTGTCAATTAAATCCATCTTTAAAATAGATTTTACCAAACGTGTACTGCCCACTGAGATTCAGTTAATGTTATCTTTTCAACATGTTTTTCCAAGAGAAATAAATAACCCAATATTCTATTATAATCAGTGGATTTGGTTTTTTAACTTCCCTACGTACCAAACATCTGACAGGATACTGCAAAACCCTCTGGAGAAACTTTTCTTTTATGGAGAGATCAGTATGAAAATTTTCACTCTGAAATGCAGACAAGACTAGATTTTCAAAAGCATATGCTGCATTTGTGGATTTCAACCCAAGACACCCAAAGTTTGATTTTTCAGGGATGCTGAGCAAACATAACTCCTACAGACTCCAGCCAGAATTTTTCCTGTTCACCACTGCTGCAAATCAAACTCTGCATTGCTAAGGGGACCAGAGGCAGCTTCTTGAACAGCTTTTACTTCCAATATTTCCTTACTGTGGAAATAGGCTTAAGTGATACTTGATGGCATTCAGTCACAGATGACACAGCTCATAAAGCCGAAAAAGGAGCAAAACTCAGGTGTTGAAAATTCACCTCAGTGTGTGAGAAAGAGAGGAGGGGGAGAGTTTGGGAGTGAGAGCTTGACTCTTTGAAAAGGAGACAGATGGTTTGAATTTACCGGCATGAATATTACAAGCTTCAGGTGTCCCCAGATGTTGTAAAAAGCAACATTAGAAATTGGTCACAAATAATATGTCCAAAGGTATCCAGGAAAACAATGGCTTTTGCCTCTGCTACAGGTAATTTGTTGAAACCTTCCCAGATGTCCCTTTTTAAAGGAAAACCTCTTTGCCAAGGATGAGGAGCATGATGAGAAGCTGGTTCTATTATACAATGTTACACATCTGAAAGTATTTTTGCTGTTTATTTTCAATATTGCTGGTTCATTCCCCCCTTAGCACACCCTCAAACCTGCCCCCCCTCCATTCCTTTCTATAACTTTTAATCATATCCTTTATTTCCCCGAAGCAGGTAGTCCTTAATTACATTTTACAGACACAGAAATTCAGCACAAACTGGTCAAAACAGCTGTGGGGAAGTTTCTGCTTTGAAGGAAATATTACTGGTAAGGATAATTTTGCATCTTTTCCTTCATTTGTATTAACACGTTATCTTCTATCTCCTCCCAGCCAGTTTCCATATGCACAAGGAGGTAGCATTTCTTTCTAGTCACATAGTTGTTTTCTACAGCGGCTTTCTACATTTTCAATTTTGTGAGCTAATGTTCAAACATGCATGTTTATTGCCATGATTTTGAGGATCATAGCAGGATGTTTGGTACCCAAATATCACTGAAAGGTTTTTATGAAGTCATTTGCTAATATATATATTAGTCTATGGCATACAGGGGAAAACAGTACAAAAACAGAAAGTTCACAAATCTTAATTTAGACTCTTCAATAACTTATGACACCCAGTGACTCTCACTCGGGGCAAAGAAAATACCAAGTGTCCTAGACATTTGTAAGGCCACCTATGGCTGTATTTCCCCATGGTTTTGGTCAGGGTTCCCCAGTCTATCCCTGATTAGGTAGTACTGGCTTGTATTTGCTGCATTATGAAGCTGCCTCTGAAGACATGCAACGTACGTTTGTAAGCATTTTCCCAGGAAACAGTGCAAGGTGCGATTATCCTCTCATGTTGGCTTTTCTGTAGAGTAAGTCTGTTTATTTGCATAGGATTAGTTGTCTTTTACATGGCTAAAAGAAAGTATACTGCAAGACCCTAAGGGTTAAAAGTTCGTGAGAGAAGGTGGAATAAACTGTTTACATACTCCTGAATCACAGCAGTGTGTTTGCTGAGCTAACGTTTGCAAAGCATCCTTTCCTAGCAAAACTGATATTTTTCTCTCTATGAAATAATTTCATACAGCAGAACTGTGATATGTAAAGAAATGTATTTCATAATTTGTGTTTATTAAAATCTTCTTTCCACATTTCCTTTATGTTTCTGTTATTAGATCTTTTATTGGATATTAATGGATGCTCTGCAGCTCTCAAGGGATCTTGGACGTTTTCTCAAGTAACTTATAAAAATCTCCGAATTCTCCAGATCTTGTTTTGTTCTCATGATGCTCAATTCTTATCATTCTTTTCAATTTTTTATCATGTAACATTGTAAGTACATTAAATTAGTAATGAAAAATGAAACCACAGGAGTCCACTGTATTCTAGATAATGACTGATACATCTTCTCACTTGTCTGTGTTACATTATAGTGTCATAACTTTCCTTTATATTCAATAATATTTTTCATTATTGCACCATCCACAGCACAGAACTGTACTATTTTGTTCAGTTTCTAACAATATTTTCCTTAAGTAAATCCATATCTAATAACTGCATTTATTTTCTCTTTCTTGCTGTGTAGTGGAAAGTAACACAGATTTCTCTTAGACCTCACTTTGGTTTTACAGGTGCTCAAAGATGTCATCAACAGATATTAAAGAAGATACATCAGAAAATAGGCCAAGGTGCAGTGCTCTTCAGGGGCTACAAAAGCTTTAGCTCTATGCCCTGGTGTCAAGAGGATTAAATGTGAATTTGAAAGTAAAGAATGGATGGGGAGTCAGTGGCTTTGAGCCAAGATCCTCTTCAGGTGAGTGCGGGGAGGCTTCCCAGTGACAGGCACAGCTGCCTCCCATCTAGTGCAATCAGATGCTGTAGTTAAGGCAGAAAGGTAAAACATTTCTAGCCAGAAAAAAAAAAAAGCCTAGTTAGTGCCTATGCATCCCATTCCCACCAAAACCCCTCTTTTCCTTTTTTCTCCCTTTCTCCCTGCTTGCTGGTTGATTTGTGCCTTGATGTAGGACTGCTGCTTCCTTCTTTTCTGTGGTGTCCCTGCTTGCCTTGGTTGCTTTTGCTTTGATGGCTTCCAGCAGAACAAAGCTAAACTCTTCAACAGAGCTCTGGGTGGTTTTAGGGTGCACTTGTACCCTGAATGCATAACTCCTGGAAGCATTATGTTATTGCCTGTCTGGAAAGACTCTTGCAATTACTGGAGAGCATAAGAGTCCATAAACAATTCAGAGCCCTCAAAAGTCTCAGTTCTCTCCCACAGCTGTGCATTAAAAGATGCTATGGTGGATCACAGAGATGTTCTTCAGAGGTGGGCTTGCTGGAGCTTCAAGGCCATGTGGTGAGTAATTTGCATTGGTGTTTCTGCATAGGTAGCCTCTGAGGGATGTATGTTTTCTCCTGTAGGGAAGAACTGGGGGAAATATAAAATGTGTGTGCAGGGAATCTCCTGCCTTTCCTGAAGTAGAGATGTGGAAAAGATGAATTTCTTTGAGAACTACAAACGCATTTAATGCTTGCAGTAACCAAAGTCATCTGCTTAACATGTTCGTTGTCAAATGTTTTTGTTTCTGGTAATCTCCATTCCCCCTAAACTGAATTTTATATTGTGGAGAACTCTGGAACTGCTTGTAAAGGTGCTTTTGTGGCCCAATAGTCATTTTAAAACAACCGACCCCCAATGCCCCCCTTGTCAATAGAGTGACAAGCAGCTTGGAGCAGCAGGGTGGTGGATTGGAGCAGGGGTGATTGGTATTTTTGCTGGAGGTAACCAGTGACTTCAGTCCCTGGTCAGCAGGCTGCCCATCAGAACAAGGAGCAAGCTGGGGGGGCAGGATATCCCAGACAAAGTTTCTTGCCTTTGCTCACTGTACATTGACACATCTTGCTTCAGTCTTTTCCTCTGCCAGTGGCTTATTTTGCAAAGGGTGGTTTGAAGCAAAGAGCAGTTGCTGATGGCTTGAGACTTCTGTTTGTTGTGCACAGGACACAAGGACCCAATTGTAGTTTACATAAGTACCTGCCATTGCTTATGGTTATGTAAAGCAGGGATGAATATCTAAACCCTGGGATCAAAAACCTCCTACACATGAATGAGTCCGTTAAGAGGGAAAGAAAACAAGGCAGAGCCGTGCCAGTGAAAGCACGGATCACTTCACATTTTAGTTTGTGGAAGAGCTGAAAGTAAAGGCAAACAACGAAAACATATGGTATTTCTCAACCACTAGGTCAGTGAGGAGGGTAATAATGGGATAAAAAAGAAAGATTCGTCTCCTCCCCTCCTCTCCACAGAAAAATTCACTTAACTACAGGAAGATGTCAGGCGGGATTTGGGCAATGGGCTTAATGAAAGAGAAGGAGGAACTACCATTTAATGGGCAGAGACTCAAGCTGTCTAAGCACACCCAAAAGGATGAGTGGTCTGTTACACCTCTTTTGTGGCAGGCTTGACTCCAGGCCTGCCAGATGAGTGAAAGGGATAAGTTAATTATCGGGGGGGGGGGGGGGGGCTGAAAACCCCATCCTGCTCTGAAAGTGTATTTTTGGAATGTCTCTGCTGACTTTAGATGGTTTGGGGATCAAAACTGTTGTGCTCAGAAACAGTCTTTAGCATGCTAGTGACAGCAGGTGTGGGTGACCTGTCTCATCTTGGAGAAGTGGCATAGGAAGAAGCCTGACATGAAGGGCTGATGTCTGCTCCTGCCACTGATTAGACTGAGCACTGTGGGATGTGTTTTTACTGCACACAGGTATTTCTCCTTTTCCCACAAAGAGAGGTTGCAGGCATAGTCAGTGATAGGGGTGTAAAACCTTCATGGAAAAATGCCACCTTTGCTCCAAGTGGCTCTGCAACCTGGGCAGTGGCTCCCTGAGTGCCTGGGGATAACTCTGGTGTGTTTGCAGATGGGAAAAATACTGCTGTTGGTGCACTTTGTTCAGGTAATCAACCCCAGAGTATTGCATGTGAAGGAAGAGCTGTGATCTCAGATAGTTTGCTTATGACTCTGTAAACCAAAGTGGATGTAGGATGTGCTGGTTTCTTCTTTTTGCAGTGCTGGCCAGTGGTAGATTATAGTAGAGCTTTTCCAGTACTGGCTATGGGCCCCATGGAGCAGATAAATTATTGGAGTAGCTCTCATTTTGTGGTGAGTGTAGCTGTTCTCACCAGTATCCTCCCTGAGCAGCTGCCTTTCCTTCCCCACCTGACCTACACCTCAGTTTCCTCCTTGGGTCATCATCCTATACAAAACTCTTTCAGAAGCACTTCTCCTGTGCCTTCCCCAAGGAGTTTCACATCCTAACACTAATGGAGACTTTAGCTGTGAGCTAGGATTTTTGTACATGCTCTGTGAAGGACAGAAGCCATCCTGATTACTAAACTTTCCTACATAGTCCCTCTACTAGCATTTATACCCAGTAAAATTCCTTATTACAAATGAGGTTTTTAATTCTAAGCTTAGCTTGATAGAATGTAATTTAAAGCCATTTAGGATGGCTTAACCTTCAAAGCAAACTCAAGATTGTATAATTAGTTCTTGAAGCCACTGAACACTACCCATAACACAAACCAACTAAAGTATTTATTAGTTTTGGAGTTAAGACTTGCTTGTTCTAAATTTTCAATAAAGTGCATCAAGTGTTCAAGTATTAAGCACATTTTGCTTCTTCCTAATCTTCCAATGCTCAGTAAATTTTATTTGTGAATAAAAGCATAGCCCAAGTGTTGCAAGACGTAGAATGAAAACCAAATTGAATCAGTTCTTGTGGGCATTAGAGGAAATAGTGGCAGTAGCAGTGCTTGGATGTTCTTTTGTGTGTGTGTGTGATCTTTTTTTCTCTTTTTTCTTTTCTTTTTTTCTTTTACTGTCTTCAAAACTAATGAAACCAGCACAGACTTTTTGTAGTTTTTGAATGTCTTTCCATTTCATAAACTGTCTGAAACAAGGTGTGCTAAGAAGTAGCCCTACAGAAGTTGCAAAATGCTTCAAGGGTATAGTGAATAAATTTTTGTGGTACTGAAAGAAAATGGTCTCTCTTCACGATTTCTTTTAAGGGGCTGGCACAGGCAACACCAGAGTTTCAGGTTTAAAATTAGAGCTATTTCTATTGGAGTCAATGCATAGACAGTTCAGGTTTGTGAATTTTCTTGCTGCTTGTTTGTATTATTTGGACCCATGAATGTTTGATTGGTTTCAGGAATGTTGCTCAGAGCTAGGCTATCCCCAGTTTATAGAAGCAGCATCCCAGCCCTCTGACCTGGGGACTGAGACATAAAGAAGTCAAAGGAGGTGATCCTGCCCCACTACCCTGTTCTTGTGAGACCTCACCTGGAGTACTGTGTACAGTTCTGGTGTCCTCAACATAAAAAGGCCATGGAACTGTTGGAACAAATCCAGACAAGAGCCATGAGGATGATCAGGGGACTGGAGCACCTCCCGTAGGAAGACAGGCTGAGAAAGTTGAGGCTGTTCAGCCTGGAGAAGAGAAGGCTGCGTGGAGACCTCATAGCAGCCTTTCAGTATCTGAAGGGGGCCTATAGGGATGCTGGGGAGGGACTCTTCATTAGGGACTGTAGTGACAGGACAAGGGGTAGCAGGTTAAAACTTAAACAGGGGAAGTTTAGGTTGGATATAAGGAGGAAATTCTTTCCTGTTAGGGTGGTGAGGCACTGGAATGGGTTGCCCAGGGAGGCTGTGAATGCTTCATCCCTGGCAGTGTTCAAGACCAGGTTGGACGAGGCCTTGGGTGAGATGGTTTAGTGTGAGGTGTCCCTGCCCATGGGAGGGGGTTGGAACTAGATGATCTTAAGGTCCTTTCCAACCCTAACTATTCTATGATTCTATGAGTCTATGTACCTTAAGAATGGTTGGTGTTGGGTTTGATCTAGGGATTCAGTAATCTGTGGTGGGGTACGGTCTGGAGAGTTGTTTGGGATTTCTTAAGAGGGCAGAAGTTCTTAATCATGACTTGAGGACTGACCAGCCTTGAAATATTTTTCATACAGAAGCCTCTCACAAATAATGATGTATTCTGTCTAGATGTGAGGCTGGGTATCCATTGATGTCAGACAGGCAAATGGGAAACTATCTGGGAAAGACAGTCTGAGAACTACTGTTAGCATATGTGTTTCTAGCAAAGAATGCAGGCTCCAGTTACAACTCTTCACACAAAATAGAGATTAGATGGGTTTAAAACCATTGGAAGGGTTTGTTTCTTCTGCATCTGTGAACTCTTATTTTGCAGGAGCTCATGCAATGCTTGTGTGGCGCTAAGAAGGCAAAGGGTTGTACCTTCAGTCATGCCAAAGTAGGATTTAGCCATTGTATATGTTTGATTTGTAAAATCCTTGACTTGCTACCTGAGAGCCTAAATCTGGGCTGTAGTATGTCTCTGCATTTGCTTTTAGAGAGGGAAATCTTTTCTCTTTCAAATTCAAGATAAATCTCCTCAATAGTACAGGGGGCAAGGTTTCACCCACAACTTTTCTTCTAGGTGCCCTCAAATTAACTGATGAAGTGAAATTGTTGTTTTTCAAATATTCTGTAACTCAGAGGGAGGGGAGAGGGTTCCTTGTCTTACGAACTACTTTTGATTCTCTTCAGTGCCTCAGATATTTTCTTGGTCACAGCAGTCAGCTTTTTACAGGTGAATTGTTTTCTGGATTCTGTTGATGTTTGCAATGAATTATGTTCCGACCACCAGTAGCAACAGCAGGAGATGCATTACTTGCCTTCATAAAAATCAAGTCTAAAACAACAAATATCCCATAACAAATTAGCTGCATCATTGAGAGTGGATTTATGTGGCTGTTGTTTGGAAGCAGGGTTTTTGCTTTTATGACTTTTTCTGGGTAGTGATTAAAATGAGACCGTTAGACAACTGTTGCGGGTATTTTATCCCTGCTTTCATAACTGTCTCACTCTAGTTCCTTTTCTTTCTATAGTTAAAAGCCCCCTCTTATGGTCTATGGAAAGAGGGAGTATAAAAGGGCAGTTGTAGAATAAATTAGTGTTATATAAAGAACAATTCACCTACAGCAAGAAATAATCACAGCCTTAAGCATCAGTTTATTTTCAGAAACAACATGCTTGTGACATGCAAGCAAAGCATACGAGACATTTGGCTCACTGGGCTGCTTCTGTTGGCTTGCTCTGGTCAGGATTTGGGCATTGCCAAAAGCTCAGGGTTGTTCCTGACTTTAGGGGCATGTAGGGCATGCCTGCACTGCTCTGGGGCTTTTAGAGCCTTCGAGTTGCAAAATAATCTCTGGTTAAAGCAAGGCCTTGTTGGTAAGGTTGCCTGAAGCTCTGGGAGCCCAGAATACCTGCCCGTGGAACATCC